TTGTGAACTCTACTATGTACAATTTTGTTTGTTTGTTTGTTTGTTTGTTTTTGGAGACAGGGTTTCTCTGTGTAGCCCTGGCTGTCCTAGATCTTGCTCTGTAGACCAGGCTGGCCTCCAACTCACAGAGATCCCCCTGCCTCTGCTTTCTGAGTGTTGATACTAAAGACGTGTGCTACCACCGCCCAGCTACTATGTGCAATTTTTATGATTACTTATTTTATGTGTTGGGGTGTTTTATTTGCATCTATGTTTTACCATGTGTGTGCCTGGTGCCCTCAGAGGCCAGAAAGGGTATAAAATCCCCTAGAACTGCAATTACAGACCATTGTGAGCTGCCTGACAGGTACTGGGAATTGAGAATCGAACCTGAGTCTTCTGTAAGAGCAGAAAGTGCTTTTGACTGCTGAACCATCTCTCCAGCCTCCAATTTGTTTATGTTTTTGAAAAAAATAAATTAGTAAGTCTGGGCAGGGTAACTTATGCTTGTAATCTCAACATTACAGAGTCAGGAGATCTAATGAATTAGAGAACAACTTGACCAACACAGGGAAATCCTGCCCTAAAAGCAAAAACAGGGAATAGTGAGATGGCTCAGGGTGGGACTGTCACCTGCTGCCAAAGCTGGTAGCCTGAGCTGTTTGATCTCTGGACCTGTGTGGTAGAAAGAGAGCCAACTCCTCTAAGTTGTCCATATGTGCCATGCCCCCACCCTCTGTGTGTGTGTGTGTGTGTGTGTGTGTGTGTGTGTGTGTGTACACATATACACACGATTAAAAAATATAATGTTAAAAAAAACAAACAGAGCTGGACCATGGTAGCACACACCTTTAACCCCAGGATTTGTGGGGTGGGGAAGGCAGGTGATCTCTGTGGATTGGAGGCCAATCTGGCCTACAGAGTGAGATCTAGGACAGCCAGGACTACACAGAGAAACCCTGTCTTAAAAAAACAAAAACAAAAACAAACAAAACAAAACAAAAAACACAAACAGAAACAAAATTAGTTGAAAATGCTCTCACAGTAAATGGAGTAGCAAATAAAGATGTTCACATCAAAGGCTTTGCAGCAAATGGGGAAGAAATGTTTGGATTCGGCAAGGAAAAACCAGTGTGATGTCCAAATGAACTAAAGGTAGCATGTGAAAAGAAAAAAGAATGACTCCAATGGTGAGGATCTCCAGGATCCTTTAAAATGTATAGTTCACAGGAAAAAAGAAAACAAAACAAAAAAATCCAGCTAGGCATGGTGGTGCACGCCTTTGATTCCAGCACTCAGGAGGCAGAGGCATGTGCATCTCTGTGAGTTTGAGGCCAGCTTGGTTTAAAGAGAGTTCCAAGACAACTAGGGTTGTTACCAAGAGAAAACCAGTCTCAAAAAAACTAAAACAAATAAATAAAGTTTACAGTTCACAGGAAAAACTGAAGTGATTTTAAAAAAATAAAATTTACAATTCACTGAGTTTTATTATCTTCATAAGTTTGTGCAACAATTGCCAATGTCTACCTTACAGTCGTGGATAGCCTCCTCCCAAAGAAACCAACATTCTTTCTCCCCTCTCTGATATCTACTTTCTATTTCTACAGATTTGCCTGTTCTGGGAACTTCATATAAATAGACGTAGCCTTTCGTGTCTGGCTTCTTTCACTTAGTAACTATTTCCAAGGGCTATCCATGTTACAGTATCAGTATTACATCCTTTTATACCCCAATATTAGTTCATTTTATGTAAAATTTTCACAAATTTATAGACTCTTTTCTAATTTCTTTAAAAAAAAACAATTTTGGGGGAAAAATCAGATATGGTGAAATGCAGCTACAATCCCAGCCCTCTGAAGGTGGAGGCAGGAGGGTCAGAAATTCAGCATCATCTTTAATTACATAGCGAGTTTGGAGCCAGCCTGGGCTACATGGGCTCCATTTCAAAAATACAGAGAGATAAGGGGGTGAGTCAGGGTCTCCTGTAGCTCAAGTTGGCCTCAAACTCACAGTGTTGCTAAGGATAACCTTCAACCCCTGGTCTTCCTGACTCCACCTTCCAAGTGTTGGGGTGACAGGAATTTGCAGCATGCCTGGCTTACTTTAAAAAAAAAAATTGTTGTATAGCCCCAGTGGGCTTCAAACTCAGGATCCTATTGCTTCAGCCTCCTGAGTGCTGGGATTACAGTCGTGTGCCAACGTTGCACTTTTGTCTTTCCTAGTGTAATACCCGGGAGTGAGAGGCTGGGTCATTTGTAACTGTACATTTAACTTTGTGAGCATCTGCTAACTCACTTTCTGCAGAGCCATATCACACCCTCAACAGCAGTATAGTCCCGGCCAGAACTTTGTCAAGCCTTGCTACGGTAATCATTTAGTATGGACATCCGGTGAGTGCCAGTGCTATGATGCTTTAATTCGCATGCCCCTAGGGACCAAGGACATTGAATTTCCTCTCATCTATTTATTAGTTGTTTTCATATCTTTGTTGAAGAAATTATTGACACCCTTTGCTCAGTTTTGAACTTTTTATCTTTGAGCTTTAACAAAAACTTGAAACTTTTGTTAAAATGTGTAGTGGTTTGAATAAAAATGCCCTCCATAGACTCGTAGATTGGAATACTTAGGGAGTGGCACTCTTTGATGGGCATTCGAAGGGTTAGGAGGTGTGGTCTTGATTGACAAAGTGTGTTTGGAGGTTTCAAAAGCCCCTTGGAGACCCAGGCTCTCTCTCTCTATGGATCAGGATTTGACTCTCAGCTTCGGTTCTACTATTCTGTCATGCCCCCCACCCCCATGATACCAATGGACCAAACCTCTGAGACTGTAAGCAAGCCCCAATTGAATGCTTTCTTTCATATGAGTTGCCCAGGCATGGTGTCTCTTCGAAGCAGTAGAACAGTGACTAAGACAAAAAATGTGAAAATTATTTTGTATGTTTTGGATACCAGACCCTTATCAAATACACAATTTCTAAACATTCCCTCCCATTCTATGGGTTATGCTTTAGTTTTGTTGTAGCTTGTTAGGTTTGAGATGTTGTGTTATATTAATAAGGAGATAAGTGTGGCGCTGGCGAGGTAGCTCAGTGGGTATAGTGTTTGCCATCTGAGCCTGGTGACCTGAGTTTGATACCTAGAGAAAGTAACGGCTCTGGGTGCGAGGGGGGTGTGGTGGAGGAGCCAGAGGACAGCATAGTGGATAGCAATCAAAGAGACAAGACGGTAGTGAAATGCAGTGCGGTTCTGACAGGTAACGGGTCAGATGCGGCTTCCTCTGGAATGCCTTTCTGACTCCAGGTTAGGCCATAGCTGCTCAACGCTGCACCACTCACTTGACCTAAACGCCCAGGAAGATGCGGGCAGGTGTGGAGGCCGTGGAGGAGGCATCCCTACACCTAGGCCCTGGGGCAGACGACACACCCAACAAGGAAACATTGACTAACTGAAGTAATGAATGAGAAAAATCTCAGAAGTGTGGTGCATTTCCTCGGGCCTAGGGGTCTGAGGCAGCCCCTCCCACATCCCTGAGTGACATCAGACCTCTTCTCTCCACCCTGCACTCACTCATCCCCATCCGTCGCACCCATTCCCACTCCCACTCGCACTCCAGTCCCAGTTTCAGGCCTTGCAAAAACTCTAGGGCTTTAAGAGCTGCCAGAAGCCGAGGAGGACAATGATTGGAAGTTTATTCTAACGGATTGAAGATGAGCTCATCTGTAGCCAATGGCCAGCAGGCACCCGGCTAGACGCCCCACCCCTTCCCCCGGGCACCTGCGGAAGGGTGGGAGGCACAGATCCTTGCGGAGGTGAAGGGACAGCGTTAGCCGGGAGGGCCGGAACTGGCACGCGGACAGGTACAGTGTTTGCTCTGCTCTCCGGCCATCCTCCCAGGCGAGGAGGAGCCTTCCTCCCCCCTCCTCAGCCCGACCTCCTTGGACATCCCCTGGAGTGATGCACCTTGTGCACGCATGCTGCTTGCTTGCCGGGTGTGTGGTCTTAGGCATGTTGCTGGACCCGAAACCCGCAGCCCTGCGCAGCAGGCGTTGGTGACCCAAGCACAGGCCTCAAAGCTACCTGTCCCGCTGGGCCTGGCAAAACAGGAGGGCCGCCTTTCTCCATCCCCTAGCCTCATCCTGGCCAAGGCTCAGCTCCTGGCTGCTTGGAGATGTGTGTTTCCTCCCCACCTCTCCCTTTATCCTGTGTATCAAAACTGCTCCCTGGCCATTTTCCAGAGTACCTGAGACAGCAGAGGTGCCTGCCTGGCTGCTGTGAGGGACAGCAACCACGCCCCAGCCCCTCCCCCTCGGGCCCCTGCCACTCTTATCCCTTTGGGCCACTGGTGTCGCTCGTTGCTTAGGGAGGGGTTGGTGTCAGGTCTTTGGGAGAACGCACTGGCCCCCTGGCCTTCTGAGTGTCAGGAGGAAAAGCCATCAACTCACCCCGACAGTCATTGAACTCCACGTGAACTGTCATCTAATCTGTCTAGATGACTCCTGACCTCAGGGGCAAAGCTAGCAAAAAGCCTAGACATGTGTTTCGTCTGGGGAGAGGCACCACTGAGCTGGAGCCCAAGGCTGAATGAAATTCCACAAGGGAAGGTGGGGAGGGGAAGGGAGGGACTGGTGGGAGCAGAAGCTTTGAGTCAGTGTGTCTTATGTGTGCTAGAGACTGAGTGTGCTCTGTGGACACCCCTTGGAGGCAGCTGTGGACCACAGGCATCCCTAGCTCCCGGTGCTCCATACAGACAGCATGCTGGGGAAGTACAGTACGTGTGGAAGTGAATTTGAATGGGAAAGAAAGGTCCGGATTGTGTTAATCCATTGTTATCACCACTGAGGTGGGACCCGGCTCAAGGAAGGGACCTTACCAAACATTAGCTCAAATCCCTCCAGCCTTTGCTTGTCAGTCTCTCCAATTTAGTGCAGGAAGCTGGAGTACAGGTGTGTGTGTGGGGGGGGGCTCCCAGCAAGTGCCTCCCTAATGCATTTGCTTCTTGCAGGTCACAGCTGCAGGGCCACTATGAGCCTGGTAGCCTGTGAATGTCCACCTGGCCCAGGCCTGGAGCTGGAGCCCTGCTCACGAGCGAGGTCCCAGGCCTGCATGTACCTGGGACAGATTCGTAACCGGGTAGCTACAGGGACATCTGACATGGCCAAGCGTGACTATCTGGTAGATGCAGCGACACAGATCCGCCTGGCCCTGGAGCGAGATGTCAGTGAGGACTATGAGGCGGCCTTCAACCACTACCAGAACGGTGTGGACGTGCTGCTCCGTGGTGTACACGGTGAGGGTGGTGATTGACACTCAGGGACAGAAGGTGGGCAGGAAAGGGCCCTTTGTCTGTCCATACTAGAGGTGTGAGGCACTGGGCTAACCCTGCCAGGCCTCCATGAAGGACAATAATGAGGACTTGAATTTATAAAGGCGTTCCTACACGGCAGACCCCGCTAGGCTTTGCCTGTGTTAACTCGTTTGAGTCTCACCTCAATAGACTTTTTCTTGCAGGTAGTTACAAGTATACAGGAATTATTATCGCCATCGTTATCTGAGATAGGCCTTTCACTGTGGCCCAGGCTGCTCTTCCTATCTCAGTCTCCTGACTGCTCAGGCTACAAGTATGCATGGCTCTGGGCAAGAACTAACATTCATACTGATTTTGGAGGCATGGGGCAGTTAGAGAGCTTGCCCAAGGCTTGGCAAAGGCTCCACAGCTGCCAAGGGGTACATCGGGAGTTGGAGCTGCTTTGGCTCCAGTTGCTATCTGTGTACTTGGCCCCCTGCACTTGGCTGGTCCTGGAGCCGGGCTGGGCAGTGGTCCTCTGGAAGCTTGCACTCCAGATGAGGGGAGAGAGCTGATTGACAGTGGATATGGAATTGTAGTCCTGAGAGAGCAAGGAGGGGAGGTCAAAGGGAGGGAAGAGGAACCCTGAGGTCAGATGGGCCTAGCATGGGGCATTTTCTAGACGTGAGAACTAGGGGGACTGCTGAAGGACAGTATGTGTGTCGTCCAGCCCAGGGCAGAGGAAGGGGACCAGGCTTATGGGGGGGGGAAGGGCTGATCAGGGCAGAAAGGCATTTCCATGCTGAGACCAGTTTGAGACTCTAGAGCCTGGGGCCAGGCTATGGTGACCACAGTCCCCCTCACCCCCTGTTGAAGAGACTCTACCAGGCCTAGGTTTCAGGAGTGCCTTCCTTTTCCATCTAATCTGGTCTCCACCCTGGTCTTTTCCATGGCTGGCAGAGATAAAGGAAGCACTGTATTCTGGAAGCTTGTCTCTTCTCTTCTGAAGGGAAGGGGCACACAAATCTCTACCTTGTTCCAGAATGTGAGAACAGCCAGTGAGATGGTGGGTACCACCTGTAAAGAGCAGCTGGCTGAGGGGGTCCCAGTCCTCTTCCCCGTCTTTCTGCTCAGCCCCTGCTCTCACCATGGAGCAGGAGCTCAAACACAGCCAGGGGATGAACTAGCTAAAACTGACCGGGAAACAGGAGCCATTGGCCATGATAGGCAGAGGTAGTTAGCAGGAGCTAGCATCTCAGCACACAAGCAAAGCCCAGGATAGAGGGCAGGGGTGCAGCCCTGGTGACCACAGATGATGACAATGCCCCCCCCCACACACAGTTGACCCCAACAAGGAGAGATGCGAAGCTGTAAAGTTGAAAATTACCAAGTACCTACGGAGGGCAGAGGAGATCTTCAACTGCCACCTTCAGCGGACGCTGGGCAGCGGGGCCGGCCCCAGCACGGTGAGGAGAGCCTCCCGGGGTCCCTAGGGGAGGGAGGGGACCTGGGGAGAGACAGCCGCTTCCCACCCCCTTCCCCCTCTGCTTCACAGAGCGCTTGGCATGCATGACATTGACACCCACCCCAGTCTGCATGGGACTCCATGCCATCCTCACACATAGCGCCTCTGGATTCTGTTTTTGGTGAGTGGGTACACCACAAGTATTTGAAATGCAGGCGTTCACACGCATGCTCTCAAGCGTGCACTTGCGCAAGCACACACACACTTGCTCACACACACACACACACACACACACAAACACACACACACACACACACACACACACACACACACACACACACACGTATAACTGTGCATTCAATGCTCCTCCTGTTACTTTCCTAACCCATTGACCAAAGGCGCTCTCCATGCCAAGGCCCACACACTCCTAGGCTCACTTCGTTCGTCCTGTGGCTTTCCTTTCACAAAAGTAGATTATCTAGTAAATTTTGAGGTTGAGACCCCTATGTTCCCACCCCAAACCCTGAGAGCATCTGCCCTTTGTAGACAGGGCTTTTGAGAAGGGACTTCTAAGAAGGACTTCTAAAAGGTCCCGAGTACGACTGGGAAGGGGCTGAGCACAAAGTCAGCCCGGATGCCTTGAATCAGTGTGCTCCCAAACTCTGAGTCAAGAACGGTCCCTCTGTTCAGTCTGACCCTGTGTGGTAGGGTTTTCCCGGACCCCAGGCCCTACTCACTGTGGTCCCTTAGGACTCTCCGGCACCCAGAAGCATCTGCCCATAGCCCAAGCCTACGCAGCATGGCTGAGGCCTTGTCTCCTTCCTCTGCAGGGCTTCAGCAGCCTGAGGCTCCGGCCCATCCGCACACTGAGCTCTGCTCTGGAGCAGCTGAGGGGGTGCAGGGTGGTTGGGATCATCGAGAAGGTGAGCCAGCCAAGGGTGTGGGAAGGGAAGCATATGTGTGGCAGGTAAGGGATGGAGGGTGGGGTAGGATGGAGGTTGGGGTAGGATGGAGGGTGGGGTAGGATGGAGGGTAGGGTAAGATAGAAAGTATAGCAAGTTTTCTTGTCAGATGATCTTTGAATCACCAGCCCCCAAATAATGACATGGAGACTTTTTATTAATTATGAAAGCTTGGCCTTAGCTTAGGCACATTCCCAACTAGCTCTAATAACTTCTACATTCTGCCATGTGGCTGTTTTACATCTCTTCCATTCTGTATCCCCAACTTGATCCAAGTCTCTCTGCCATCTCTTGCACACCTAGATTCATCTCCTGAGTTCCTCTCTGCCAGGATGTCCCATCTAGTCTCTCCTGCCTACCTATTGGCTATTCAGCTCTTTATTAAACCAACCACAGTGACACGTCTTCACACAGTGTAAACAAATAAATACATGGCAACAGGAAGGTGTCTGCAGCAGCTGCCTGCATCCAGAGGGTGGTGTGCAAGCTCGGGGGGATAGCAGCTGAGGTCAGGGGCTCCTTTTCTTTCTCAAAACACACCAGTCAGGCTCTAGAGAGGAAAGTGAGAAAGAGAAAAGACAGTCTGTTTCCCTTCACCTTCCAGCTCTGACATCGAAAACCCTCCGAGACCATGGGAGGAGCCCAGGGACCTCCTCAGCACTTACCGCCCTGATCACCCCCATTTCCCACAATCCTCCACCTTACATTCACTCTGCACACCAAGACTGCAGCCCTGTGTATCCCTGAAACACACAGCTGGGCACTTGCTGTGCCCAAAGGTCCCTCTCCCAGCCGGTCCAGTGGGCATGTGCACTTCTGTGAGGTGGCTTGTATTGTCCCAGCTGGGCCTTGGCAGCTCCACCCGCTTTCTTCTGGTACTCCTGCCCTCATCCTACACCTTCTTCTTTCCCTTAATTCAGGGTGGACAAGAAGACAGGACATGACAGCACAACCCCTGATAAAGTGGAGAAATCTGAGGGACAAAGAGGTCATGTAGGAGTTGAACCTGTGTCAGATTGCCCTCTGCCTGTAGCACAGGCTTCTCTAAATAGTTCTTTCCCAAACTGACCATTTATGAGAGTCATTGGTGAGTTTCACAAACATATAGATATCGGGACTCCATGCCAAACCTGTGGAGTCAGAATTTCTAGGGCTGAACCCAAGAATGTATAGTTGAAAACACTGGGCAATTTTGGTGGCTTTGGGAGCCCATAGAGAAAAGGACATCGGGGTGTAATTCTCTGCCATACAAGAGGGCAGCATGCTGCCTGGGAGGGCCTGGGCTTGACCAATGAACCGTAGACAGGTCCCCTCTTAGCTCTGAGAATCTCTGAGAGTTGGTTTCCTCATTGGCAAAGTGCAGGGCGGGGTGGGGGGGTGGAATTCTACCCCAAAGGGGTGATCTGGGAAGGAAATGAAACAATTTTTGGGAAAGGCCTGGCACAAACTAAGGCACTTAATACATAGTTGATGAGTCTGAGAGCAAGTGGCAAGAGCGGGGAGATACTGGTTCCCATCCCTAGGCCTTGCTCCAACTGCTTCTCCCCGTCCCTGGAACAGGCCCCAGGCTCAGTGAAGGTCCCGCCAGCTTCCCATCTGTCACACTGTCCCCTCCCATTGAACTGCCCAGTGGCCACAGCCTGACCTTGGCTAAGCACAGCGGCTCTCACAGACAGACTGACACCATTTCTCACTCACATCTTGAGTGAGATGCCAGCTATAAAGAGAGGGGTTCCGAACTAAGTAAGTTTGGGAAACAGTGATTTGTGGTTATATCACTTGCACTTTAATTTTAGATATTCTCAGAGCTTTCAGAATGTGCATGTATAGGCGTCCACAAGGGAATCTGTGATTTGTTCAACCCTGGGACACACACGTGTGTGAGCACTTTAAACATCGGTGCCGAGGCCTGCGCAGGAGTACACACTAAGATATTTAGGGCGCCTCTTTCCATTTTCCCCCTCTCAGACACTCAAGAGGTGAATGCCGGCTCCCTCCTAAGGTCTTTCTTCCTCCCCTGGGTTATGCCCAAGCCATGGATAGGAATTTCCCCAAATTAGGAAAGGTGTTAGGGCCATCAGTTCCATTCCACAGCTCTGCCCAGGCAGATCCAGGTGGCAGAGCTGTGCCAGTGCCTGCCGGTGGCAGCCTCAGGCTCAGGACGGGAGCCAGGGGCTTGCTTAGGACAGTATTGTATCCCTTAAAGTGTTGGCTGTGGGAGGGATGGAGGTGGTAAGAGAGCAGTGATGTGAGCATGTCAGGGACTAGGTAGGCAGCCAGGGTGTGTGGGGCTGTTTCAGGGACTGATCCCACCCTTCCTCTTGACCTCCTCAGAGAGCTGTGCTGGGCATTGGGAAGAAAGGCCTCCCAAGCTGCTTCTTGTTTTATTTGGCTCAAACACAGGTGGTTTTTGTTTGTTTGTTTTTGTTTCACCTTTTAAAAAATTTTCTTTGAGACAGGGTTTCTCTTTATAACTGCCCTGGCTGTCCTGGAACTTACTCTGTAGACCAGGCTGGCCTCAAACTCACAGAGATCTGCTTGCCTCTGCCTCCCAAGGGCTGGGATTAAAGGAGTGTGCCACCACCACCCAGCTTGTTTCTTGTTTTTTAATTGTTACTACCATTTTCAAATGTGCAGATTTCATATAAAAGTTCACATTTCGCTGGGCCCCAGTGACCCTTTGTCTCTGCTCCCAATAGTGCTGCCTCTTACATGGCTCCTGGAGATCTGAACCCAGGTTTCATATTTCATACCTTCACAGTGAGCACTCTTGCCCACTTAACCATTTCCCTAGCCCCTTGGGAGTGTGAGTGTGTGTGTGTGTGTGTGTGTGTGTGTGTGTGTGTACGCGCGCGCGCAGGTGAATGCTAGTGGCCACAACTGCCTTCTATCGTCCCAATTATAAGGCTAACACCCCATTTGTGGGTTAAACTCCAATGCTCTGTGTCTCAGCTGTATGAGCCCCATCACACAGAAGGCTGTGCTTGGCAATGATGCATTTTAATAATTGTCCCCACTTGTGAGACAGGGTCTCATGTAGTCCAGGATGGCTTCAAACTTGCTAGCTAGCCAGGGATGACCTTGAACTCCTAGTTTTCCTGCCTCCATTTCCTGAGTACTGGGATGACAGGTGTGTACCACTATTCCAATTTATACAAAGCTGAGGATCAAACCCAGGGTTTCATGTGTGCCAGGCAAGCATTCTGCCAACTAAGCACATCCCTAGCCCCTTAATGAGTATCTTAAAGGGAACAAAGCTAAGACTCAAGGAAGTCAGGTGTTAGGTATTCTGTTCCCCAAGCCACTTAGCAGAGGAAAATGATTTTTTTTTTCATTTGTTTGGTTGGTCATATGGGTGGGAAAATGCCCACTCTGCTAGAAATACACTAAAAGAGAAGGAATTTTAAAACAAGAAAGGAAGAGAGAAAGGAAGAAGAAAAAATAAAGGAAAGAAAAGAAATTAATTCACCACTCTAACTTCAAGATAATTGTTAATGTTTAAGTCTAGTTCCTTCTGTAAAATGGGTTTAATGTGTTTTACATACAGAGGTTTTTGGCTCCCATCCTTGGCTGGGTTCCAGACCATAAATCAGAGGGCTTGACCAAGAAGGAGGTGTCGGGGAATCCCACTTGGGGAAGGATGGTGGGGAACCATCTGGGATGTCAATACTTGTGGGAAATTTTTCTTAAATGACCCCAGCGTTTTCCACCTCTTCAAATATTGCACAAGTTTGGTCAGAGAGCCAAGGCCCGCCTGAATTAGGTCTCTGACCATTAGAGGGAGACCTCTTGTGGTCAAAAGCAATGCTGTTGCCCCGATGTAGGAAGGAGGGGGTGGGCCTCCTGTAGCCCCTGCTTCCACTTGACTAATGATGGAGAAACTAAGGCCCAGCCCAGCAGGCACTCACCCACTCTAGGATCAGCCTGTCTGTATTCAAATTCTGTTGCCACCCCTTCTTAGCAGTGGTTTTGAAAATGGGTAATTTCCCTTCTCAGAACTCCCATTTCATCAATAAAGAGAGCAGCTCACTAATAACTCCCACCTGGTTGGGAGACCGCAGTTAAATAAGCTATGCAAAGTCCTTAGCACGGAATAAGCACTTTAAATCCCATGTTTGTTTCTTCAATGACAGGGATAATTACCACGGATTAGGAGGATTTGTACTTGGATACTGCGCTTTAGTCAACAAGCATGACATATAGTGTGAACTGCCGTGATCCCATTTTTAGGGAGTACTTCCTGTGTAAATATGAGGACATTGGTTTGATTCCCAGCAATTACATAAAAAAGCTGGGCATGGTGGGGTAATTATCTGTAATGCCAATATGGAGGAGGTAAACAGGCAGATTCCCCGGAGCTTGGTCGCCAGCCAACCTCGCTGAATAGGTGAGATCCAAACTCAGTGAGAGACTTTGCCTCAAAAAATAAGATGGAGAGGGGCTGGAGAGATAGTTCAGAGGTTGAGAGCACTGGTTGTTCTTCCAGAGGTCCTGAGTTCAGTTCCCATCAACTACATGGTGGCTCACAACCCTCTGTAATGAGATCTGGCGCCCTCTTCTGGCCTGCAAGCAGCCATGCAGATGGACTGTAAATAATAATAATAATAATAATAATAATAATAATAATAATAATATGGAGAACAATTAAGGAAGACACCTAGCATCATCAACTCTGGCCTACACACACACACACACCACACCACACCACAAGAACAAGGTTCAGAGTAGCGGTGTATCTTGGCAAGTGTGTGATATTCTCATGGCATTCATTAAGGGCTTTCCTATTAAACCAGAGATATAGCAAAGGTAGATGTTTATAATTCCTCTTTGGTTTATTTGTCCAAGCTCTAAAACTGGGGCCCTGAGCTAGAGGATCTGCCAGTAACAGAGTTCTTGCCTAGCATGTAGGAGGCCCTAGGTTCAATCCCCCAGTACAATAAATAAATAAATAAATAAATAAATAAATAAATAAATAAAACCCAGGGCTCTTTCTCAGCTCCATCCCCAGGCCACAGCTTTCACCACTGTCTAGGAGTGTGGGCCCAGCTTCCCACCTGGGCAGCATGTCAGGTCAAGTCATCACACAAGAGTGCTGTCTGGCCTTTGCCCCCATCCTGGCAGAATCCTGCCTTCCTGCTCTGACACAACCATATGGCCACTCTTTCCTTCTCCCACAGCTGGGCCCACCCTTGCCTGTCGGGTGGCTAGTATGCACTTTATCTAAAAGGACATGTAGCAAGGCAGAGAAGTTCCTGAAGTCTGTCGAGCCTGCCTCTGTCAGTCTACCTGATCTGGAACCACATCCTCAGGAGCCTCTGCTCTTCACTTGTTTGGGGTTTTATTTCTTTGTTTGTTTTTGAAGGCAGGGTTTCTCTGTGTAGCCTTGGCTGTCCTGGAAATCTCTCCAGAAAGCAGGCTGGCCTCGAACTCACAGGGGTCCATCTGCCGCTGCTTCCCAAGAGCTAGGATTAAAGGCATATGCCACTACTGCCTGGCTGGTTTGGTTTTGGGACAAGAGTTCACCATGTAGCCTTGACTGGCTTTGAACTCACAGAGATCTGCCTGCCTCTGCCTTTCTCAATCTCTGCTGTGATTAAGCCTGTGCATCACCATGCCTAGCCTAGCTTCACTTGTAAGCAAAGCTCAGGAGAACTGACTAACCACACCAGCTTCAATCCCTGCCAGGACGATGGGCTCTGGCCAAAGCCTGAAGCGAGGGGTTGACTTTGGCTGTCCTTGGGCCACATAGCGCCTAGCTAGGTGGGCGGGTATGGGGAGGGGTCTAATCAGACTTCTGCAAATACAACAGAGGGTACTTAGACCACTCTCCATCATATGTGAAGTACCTTGAACTTTGCAGAACTGTGGGCATCCCAAGTTGGACAGGATGATCCCTGCCCTTGAGGAGCTCACAACCTGAGGAGTCAGGAGGTTAGATGATGTCAGAAGGGTCCCCTGAGGGGAGGAGCCCCAGATGCTGGAGGAAAAAGCACCAGAGCTTAGATCTTTGGGTATAACAAAGGCCGGTCACTAGGGCAGGATGGATGTCGGTTGGCCTCGGGGTATGGAAAGCCCAAGAACGAACATATACATTGACCAGTTTGCCTCCTGGATTTTGACAGGTGCAGTTGGTCCAGGACCCAGCAACAGGAGGAACCTTCATTGTGAAGGCAGGTGCTTCCAGGCTGCTGCCATGTGGCACTTCTCTTGGAACTTTCTCAGAGCTCCTGGGACCCCTGCCTACCCTCTCCCTAGAAAGCACATATGAGGCCCATGCTCCCTCCAAAGCTGCTTGTTGTGAGCATTGCCCACGGCTGACAAACATGCACACTACTCATCCTTGGGCATTAGACTCCAAGCGATTACAGGGGTGAGGGCTGGGCCGGGAACGGAGGGAAGAAGCAGTTGCTTCTCAGCCTGGCTCCTAATTCATATCCTAGTGTCGTGAAGCCAGAGCATGGGTGACATCAGCTCATCTACATGCCCTGTCCCCTCCCCAGAGTCTTCCCAGGTGCCACATGGTGAGTCAGGAGCGGCTGACTGTCATCCCACATGGAGTCCCCTACATGACGAAACTGCTGCGGTACTTTGTGAGTGAAGACTCCATCTTCTTGCACCTGGAACACGTGCAAGGTGAGGGGACCAGCGGGGGCCCTCGTCAACTCTGAGCTTTGGGGCATTACTGCTTTCCCACCCCAGAAAAAGATGCTGAGCCCTGAGAAGATGTGTGGCACTGACAGGGAACCCAGTCTTTCTGAAGGCTAAGGGCAGGGCCAGGCTGTCGTGGGTCTCTGTGTGGTGCTGAGGGGTCAGAGGGCATCCTGCAGAGGATGTCCCCACCCTAGGCAAGCGAAGAGCACATTTGTTCAGCAGGCTTGTTACCATTTCCTTTAGTCTTGGCTCTTTGCACTTTCCTGGTCAGTGCCCAACCCCAATGGCCTATGGAGTGGCTGGGGACTAAAACCATAAAGAAGGGAAAAGAGCCTTTTAGCCATATTTAATGATTTTAAAATGTGTGGGTCATGGTGTAGTCACTGTAAATCCATACTTGGCCTCTTTACCTCTTGTGACACCACTCTCCCTAAAACAAAAGAGAAAGCATAATATGTTGAACACCGGTGTTCAAACAAACTGGTGCTTCACTCAAACCAAGTTCATTAGCATCAGGTATGCGGGCTGTGAAGCTGAGCTCCCTGGAAGGGGATCAGAGCAGGGGAGAGTGTGTCCTCTGTCACAAAGTGGAAGAACAGGGTGATGAGATGATTGAATAAGGCTAGGACCCCCGAGAAGCAGAGGGGGATGCTGAAACGGGGGTGGGGGTGGGGCCTGAACCTAGAGTCCACTCTTCTCCCTGCCACACTCTCACTCGCTGTTTGGTCCAGGTGGCACTCTGTGGTCACATCTACTCTCACAGGCCCGCTTTCAATATTCTGGGCTCAAGTCTGGCTCTGCTCAGGATAAGTCGAAATTCCGGCTCAACACCAGCTTCTGCCTCATGACCCCAGCAAAGCTCTCACCAGGCCACACCTTGGGGCAGGACAGAGTCCCAGTGGAGCCTCCATGGACTTCTCAGAGCCTTCCCCCAGCCAAGGAGATGCCACCCCACCAGCTTCAGGAAGAGGCTGACAGTGAACCCTCAGCCAGGACCAGTCCTTTCTGTTCTTCGAACCTTACAGAAGCCCCATGTGGCCGCTTGCGAAGTCAAGTCAGGCGAGCTGGCCAGAATTCGAACCTTGCACCCAATCGGAAGCTCCACTGGGTACGGGAAGGGGCTGACCGGGTGCTAGGGGCCTATGGCCGTGGCCGAGGTCAGAACCCCCCATCAGCAAACAGGGCCAGCCTGGGGTGTGGAAGAGCTGTCTGGAGCCTGCGGGAAGAACAGGTGAAGCAGTGGGCAGCTGAGCTGCTGGTGGCGCTGGAGGCCCTGCACGAGCAGGGGGTGCTGTGCCGGGACCTCAACCCACGGAACCTGCTTCTGGACCAGGCAGGTAGGAGCCCCAGCCTCCCTGCTTCAATCCTACTCCTCGGATGGGAGCCCAGAGTCAACAGGACTCCCAAGATTATAGTGAGTCCCCACACACCCCCTTCCTCCTTCTGGCCCGTTACAGAGGCCCTGAGCCTGGGGCTACCGTTCTGGGGAACACCCCTAGGCCCTGTGCTAGGGATGGCCTTCAGCCTCTAACATGATTGTATTGGGGGAAGCCTTGGGACTGCTTAGAGATTCCAGCTGCTCAGTGATGCCACTCTCAACCTTTGTCCCATCATTCCTCCCGACGTACCCTGGACAAGGTCACATCCGACTCACATATTTTGGCCAGTGGTCAGAAGTGGAGCCCCGGTGCAGCCAGGAGGCTGTGGACTGCCTATACTGTGCTCCAGGCAAGAAGGGAGCTGGGGGAGGTTCCTAGATCGTGGGTGCTTTTGTATGGGTTAAAGACAGAGGAAGGGCAGTGGGTACTACGATGTCAACAGAAAAGGCTGTCTTATGCGTTCTTGTTCTCGCAGAGGTCGGGGGAATTTCTGAGGTGACTGAAGCCTGTGACTGGTGGAGCTATGGGTCTCTTCTATATGAACTACTCACAGGAATGGTGAGTAGCTGGGCAGGGTAGAGAGCCCTTGCAGGGAACATAGAGTATAGGCTGAGCAGAGGCTTGGTCAGCTAGGGTCAAAACAGAGGTTGCCTGGTTCTCCATGCCTGACCTTTGGGCTGATTTCCTTCTACCCACAAGACCACCAGCGACAGAGGAAGTCACTCCCATCAGGCCACCAGAGCCATTAGCACTTCTTACCACATAGGGGAGTATTGCTAAAGACAGTCAATTTCTGTGAATTGTATGAGCTGGGATAGCCAGAGGTTTATGGAAGAGCATAGCTGGCCTGAGGTTTGGAGAAGCCAGCAGCCCCTTCCTGAAGGGTTTCTGGATTATATCCAGTCTCTTCCTACTGTTCACTCCCACTCCACCCTTCAAGGCTGTGACCCCTAGACCTCAGCTGGAAGGTGGAAGAAGGCTCTTGCATCCAAGCCCCAGCGGCTTTGGTCAGCTGAGCCCACCTGCGGGCTGGGGAGGTGGTTCAGTTAGAGTGAAGACTAAGTTTGATCCCCAGCAGCCATGTGAAAGTCAAGTGTGATGACGCACAGCTGCTGCCCTAACACAGGGCCTGGGATGAGGCAAACAGATCCCCAGAGCTTGCTCACAGGAGAGAGAGAGAAAGAGAGAGAGAGAGAGACAGAGGGAGAGAGAGAGAGAGAGAGAGAGAGAGAGAGAGAGAGAGAGAGAGAGAGAGAGAGGGGAGAGAGGAGAGAGAGAGGGGAGGAAGAGGAGAGAGAGAGAGAGAGAGAGAGAGAGAGAGAGAGAGAGAGAGAGAGCCCCACTTGTCTGGGAATAAGGGAGAGGCCAAACTACATTTGAGCAGGAAAGCTTGAATGGCACCAGCAAACGCCTGACCTGACCTGCTTGTGTTCCCAAGTGGCTCAGGGCCTCTGAGAACCCTTGACACCAATGCCCCTAAGCCCCACAGGGCTCTCCTACCTTTGTCCTTGCAGCTCATCCTTACTTTGCGTCTCTCCACACTCCTGCCTTGGCCTCAATGGCTGCATGCCAGGCCTCCATCACATGCTCAGTTTGTGGAGCCTTTTTTCTATAGGGAAAGTTCTAGTGCTGTTCCCAATAGTGACCATTCTAAACTCTAAAGACAACAGAAATAATGCTTCCAACAAGCTGCAGGTTCAAACCCCCATGCTAACCCATGTCCCTTTGCCAGGGCTGGTTTCTTGTACTTAATGTCAAGGGTCCAGCTCTGTGTCATTAGTCGATTCTAGCAAAAGGCAACTATTAGCATCACCTTCCTCCTGGAATGTGTCATGGAGGTGGAGCAAATCTTGGCTGCCATGGGAGTGGCCTAAAGTGGCCTCTTCAGTGCCTCTCCTTGTGTCCCCCTCCTCTCTAGGCATTGTCCCAGAGCCACCCCTCAGGATTCCAGGCCCACACCCAACTACAGCTCCCTGAGTGGCTCAGTGGCCCAGCAGCCTCTCTGCTGACTGAGGTGAGGTATTGGCTGACCTGGAGATGGCTTATTGCTATGTGGGTGGGGGGTGGGAGGAACCACTGGTCCAATGTAACTATGGAAAGCACTAGGGCAATAAATGCCCACGAATGTCTGTGCTAGCTACCAATGTCACGGGTGCTTACTGACTGGCTTAGGAGGGAATGAGCATCTTAAGGGTTTGGTGATGGGAGTGCCAGGAGGTGGTGACTGCCTCCGTGATGGGGAAGGATGCAGAGCACTGATTCTTTCCCCATAGCTGTTGCAGTTTGATCCCCAGCGGCGCCTAGGTGCTGGAGGTGGTGGCACCAGCAAACTCAAGTCCCACCCCTTTTTCAGTACTATCCAATGGAGTCGACTAACAGGGTAAGGGGTGGGTAAGTGAACAAAGAAGCTGGCCTAGTTCTTCATTGCCTGCCACTTGGGCTGGCCCCTCATCAGTGAACTTCAAGGGACAAATGTGGGGCAGTAGCCGCTTTTCCTGCTCAGAACCTGCCCTAAAAAAAGCCAGCCCCTGTAGAAGCTGCTGGAGGGACAGTGAGGTGCACCCTGCTGAGAAACCTACAGATCAGTGAACGGAGCCTGTTGAACACATACCTTGTGCCCTTAACTGGGACCCATCATGTTAGAGGGTGCCTTCTGTTGCTCCAGCTCTAAACGGAACACCCGCTGAACCAACTGACACTTTTGGTGACACTGCCACGTTGTACACTACTTAAGACATCTCAGGACACTGAACTCTGGCGCAGTAGACCCAAACCAAGACTGTCCTGGGTCCATTTTAGTGGGTGGCTTCTACCAGAGCATGTTTGTCCCCACAGGAGTTGGGTCAAGTGGGGAGCAGTGGGGGAAGTATGACCCACGGCTGTGGAGAATAAGTTGGGAAGAGCAGCCAGTAGAGCTGAGTGGGAGTAAAAATTCAGTTTTACCACTTAGACTGAGTTTGAAACCAGAATAAAGAGCTTTATTCTCTGCTGGCTCTCCTGTGTCAAAGGAGTCTGCCCCTCAGGCCAACAGCAGATGCTTTCCTCAGGCGTGGTTGTTTTCCATTCCGCAATTTGGTATGAAGTTCTATTCAATCCACTGCCCACTCCGACTTTTAGAATGAGACACCACAGAATATATGGACCAATTTGATCCAGTGCTTTCACCCAGGTATTTCTGGTCTCTGAAGAACTGGGTAAGCGGGAAATCTCCAGAGACAAACCCTTCCCTAGGTGTGAGGACCTGCCTCAGGACAACCCAGTGGCCAGGGTGTAGCACATGCAACAAGATTTCACTTGACAAATCCCCAGATCCCTCCAGTGTTACAGGTGGTATTTGGCATAATTCACCAGTCAGGCAATTCACCCAATACATGTGGAGGGGGAGGGGACAAGCCAATATTCCTGTTTCTGAGTCTGTAGAGAGGACAAGGACAGTGCATCTCCTCCACGGCCCACACCCAGCAGCCCCAGGGTTTGTCTGCTCGAATAAAGCCTGTTCTTTCTGTGGCTTCTTTGCATCACTGCTGCAGTTAAAGTGACCTGCAAGGAAGCAGCCCCTGCTGCTACACAACAGGATCAGGAAGGGGAGGGAAGCCTTAAAAGATCACAGTGCCTGAGGAAAACACTACCAAATCTCCACAGTGAGCCCACAGAAGATTCTCCCAAGAGGTTAACTTAGAACCAACCACTAGAGCTGGCTCGCTAGTGTAGGTTCTTTCTGTGGTAGACAACTTCAGCCACCGCTCTATGAAGTACAAACCACTGTACATGACGCTGTTGAGCCATCAATTTGGAACACCAAGGCCCCAGTTCTGACAGGTTTATGAACAGCTACTCCACAAGTTTACTGGGCACACTAAAATCTGTAGTGCATCAAGCACCACACCTGACACAACTCACTGAACCCACCTACAGCTGAATTGTTCAAGGGTCTCATTTCTTCCTGTGGCAGGCCTCCACAGAGGGAGGGCCTCGCTGCAAGCGGGATCAACAGGTGGGATTCTGTGTGGAAAAGTAAGGATGTATTGAAGCCTAGACACCATCATGCCTATTATCCGTCATAGCCATTCTAGGTCAGTGATCAACCCTGTCCTGTCCATACTGCCTCCCACACACTACTGCAGAGGTGACTTCTTACTGTTCATTCTAACTACAAGTATCTTGGTACACATGTGGCAACTAGGTCCAAATGAAATTAGAAGTATTCATGTCTCTCCACTCTCTCAGAAATAATGCAAGCCCCTCAAAAAAAGCAACGGTCCCTTGGTGTTTTGAAAGGACTTCACACAGGTGGGAGCTACAATTTCTCTTCAAGAGTTGACTTGTCAGAACCACAGGGCTCCCTGAAAGGAACCCAGGGCACTAAGATTAGTGGGTTCCCCTGGCTACTAGTTAAATTGGCACAGCACTAACATGTTTAAAGACTGGGAGAGGGGCTTCAGGACTACACAGGATAGCAACTCAAGATGAAGTAGCTTTCAAAGATAAAGACCACTGTGGTTGCCAACTAGGCTATACAACCTCAAGGGTCAAAAGGAGCACAGATGCTGGGACCCTGTTTGAGAACATTTGCCCTTTAATTTTCATTCAAAATCGGTCTCTTTAAATATTTTAGTTACAAGTTCCGAATGGTGAAGATGTAGTAGCAGATGCCGCAGGCACTCAATACTGGCCTCTCCCCCTCCCCCAAGCTTGTCCTGGATTACAAGAAAAAAGGGTATTTAGCACTAATGGCCCTTTGTCAATTGTCAGCAGTCTCAGGCCTCAGTGCAGCTGGATATAAGGCCTAAGAGCTTTCATACCTTGTTACTTGCCTTTTACCATGCTTCAAGAAATTCCAATGATTGTGCCTGTCCCCATAGAGATGACATCATCCATTTCACCACTATGTACTAACTCCTGAGGCTGGTTCCCACCATAGGTTATCCTCCCCTGTATCTGTGTCCTGCCAGAGGCACCAAGACCCCCGCTCCCCACAGGCCACACCCAGGAAGGGAGAGAACAGCCCCTCCCCATCACATGCTGAGGCCATCTCGGACTTAAGAGCTCTTGCTAACCTGATCTGGTCAGAGTCAGTCCCTTTAACAGGCTCTGACCCACTGCCATGATGAGCTAAAGTCTGCTCTAAGTGAAAACAAGCCCTAGAACCCTGGGAAGGGTTGGTATGACCACAGTTATATGTGATTATGCCAAAATGAATCTTCCCAGTGAGCTTACAATGGAGCCTGTGAGGGCAAGTCAGGGTTCTACTCCCATCTGTGACTGGAATAGTAACCATCTTGCCTGTCCCCAAGTCCCCGGCCAGTGCTTCCTGGAAGAGGTAGAGAGGCACCATGAAGCCACGGACAGCTCAGAATGGTGGTGCATTTAAGAAGCAATGCAGGGCCTCTTCGCCTGCATCCAATACCTCCACACAGGTGGCATCACCTGAGAATGTGCACAGCTGGGACAGAAGCTTTGAGCCTGGGAGGCAAAGCACCCCCTGGGCATCTCTGGAGAACACTTTCCAAAGATAGAAATTCAATCACATGGTCCCTGGTGGTACCCCGGTAGTATACTGTTACTGGGGAGAAGAAAATTGTCTTTGCAGAGGGCTGGAAGAAAGACAGGAATATTAATGAGCATCCATTAAGGCTCTCACTCTCTCTCTCAGGCCCAAGGTATCAGAAGGCAAGAGAGTGACACACAGAGAGAGAAAGAGCCTAGAAAGAACACTAAGACCTGGGAAGGCTGGTTACATAGTGCTCTGGCTTCCTTGCTTGAGGCCAACAGTATGTGCCTGCCTGTTATCAGGCTAACCTGGGACTGGTGAGGGGACAGGGAGAAGACTGGTTTTCAGTTCCTGCATGATCAATAGGTAGAGTGTGTGGCTTCCTCCTAAAGGTCTAGGAGGAGGACTCTTGGATCTTCTACCGCTGCCTTGATTTTTCGGAGGAAAGTCACAGCCTCTCTGCCATCAATCAGCCGGTGGTCATAGGTCAGGGCTACATACATCATAGGTCGAACTTCCACCTGTAGAGTGGAGAGGGCAACAGGTTTGTATCCAACAGATCAGAGAAAGCCCTGTCAAGAGGAAGAGGTGAGAAAGCAAAGCCCATACCAGAGTTTCTAGTTCCAAGTCTCTCCTACCAGTGCTGCCTCTGGGTAACTTGGGTTTATTTTGAAGACCAAGCTTATGTTTTGAGCAAAGCTCTGGGACTCAGAAGCAAGGTTTACCTAAGGAAACAGGCTCCTCAAACTGCTTTAAGACAAATAACCACACTCCACCCGTTAAATTGATACCTACTGAAAGGTTTTTTTCTTGCTGTGGCTGCCTATAGGAGCTACTCTAAAGTTACAATCTTTTTGTGTGTTTGTTTTGAGACAGGGTTTCTCTGTGAATCACCCCAGCTGTCCTAGAACTTGATCTGTAGACCAGGCTGGCCTCGAACCCAGAGATCCACCTGCCTCTGCCTCCTGAGTACTGGGATTAAAGGTGTGCGCCCCCACAACCAGGATGAAGTTACAATCGTTATCACTATTATTTTTTTCAATTTTGTGGATCCATCTAACACCAGGCCTTGGGTATGCTAGGCAAGCACTCTACTATTGAGCAACACCCAAGCCTTGAAATTACAATTTAAAGAGGAAAAAAAAGTATGTTGTTTTTCCAACTGGTCTCATGTAGCACAGGCTGTTCTCAAACTCACTGTACAACCAAGGATGATACTACACTCTTGACCCTCTGGCCTCTGCTTCCGAATGCTGTAACTATAGCATGTACTATCATTATCAAACTCAGGGCTCTGAACACGCTGGACAAACACTACCACTGGTTTATATTTCTAGTCGGAGGGAGTGGGGGGGCATTAATCTTTTGAGTTCAAAGCTATCTGCCAGGTGTGGTGGCTGGCGTACACTTTTAACCCCAGCACTCAGGAGATAGAGGCAAGCAGATCTCTCAAGTAAAGGCCAGCCTGGTATACATGGAGAATTCCAGAACAGAAAGGGCTACACAGAGAAAACCTGTTTGAAAATCCATAAATAAAAAAAATACATGTTTTGTGTAAAGCCAGGTGTGCAGCTGTGAAGGCAAGGGTTAAATGGGTCCACCAAACCCAAGATTTCTTTTCTTTTTTTTTTCCCCCCAGAAAGAAGACCTGTGGTTTTGGAAGTACAAAGGAGTGGGTGACCCAGAAACATTCCAGACGCAGCAGTCTCAGAAATCTTTAAACCTAACTTACCTTCCAATGGCTACCTCAAACTCTTTGGCCTCATTCCTTGAACTCCCAGAAAACCTAGAAGCTTCTCATACAATTCTATAGCTCATAGATTGCAGTGCATTGTGCACTGTTTCCCAGGGCCGAGGAGCATGTCTCCACTCTATCCACCTGACTCCCTGTGG